GCATGCAAAGTCGATGTAGGAACCAGATCAGACAGTTCATCACATGATACTGACTTGAAGTGATTAAACTCAGAGCCACTGTACAGCAGTATCAAAGCTTTATTTTCACAGAAATAGTATAGTTTGGAAGAAGGAGTTTTCTAGCACCAGAAAGCTCAGAAAAAATTCCGAGCTCCGGGTGAGATCGAACTCACGACCCTCCGAGTTTTAGTTCGGACGCTCTAACCACTGACCTATACTGAAGGCCGGCCCTATGGCGACAAGCAGGCTCGAAATTTAATTATAACTACACCAGTTAATTAATAATACAGTAAAAACCCGCAACTAAGAACCTACATTTTTAGGAGTTAGCCTAAACAGGTTCTTATGTAAATGGTAGTTAACAGAATTTTAGGCTATTTAGGTTCTTAAAATGGGTTCTTAATTCTGGAGAAAAAGTAGTTAGTATGCTTTGTAAGACTACATATCTTGCACGCATTTTTCTTTAAAAAAACATTTTTACAACAGTGGCAATCTGCTTACTTTGCTTCAAATATGATTCTTGCAATGCAGCTGTAATGTACTAGTATTATTTCAGAAAATAAGAACCTGTTTTAAATTTCTTAGGCTAAATAGGTTCTTGTTTATAGGGGTATAAATGACCAATTTTAGGCTAACAGGTTCTTAATTTTTAGGTTCTTAGTTGCGGGTTTTTACTGTATACATGAGTGTTACAAAATGTATATATTAAATAATATATTAAGAGTTTGTATGAATTGTCCCTAGAGCGTCTTATTTGATTCTTTTCTGTCAAGTGGTTGTTTTGGAGTATGTTTTATTATTGTTTACAACAGTTTTAAAAATTAGTTCGATTTATATAGGGTTGAAGTATAACAAAAATAACCTTGGGGCAAAAAATATATCATTTGGGGTTAGCAGGGTTACTAAGGGTAAAATTATAGGAAATTTATGATGCGGTTTTGGTGCCAGTTAACGCGGGATTCGAGAAAGTCAGTTGTAGTTTTTCGCCTTCTTAAGGTGACTCGACCCAGTTTTTTTGGGGGGGTACCATCCTACTTTGAAGCTCTCTGGTATCCCCACCTTTACTTTTATCGTAAGTCTAACACATAAAATGGATAACATATAGATCAATCTACAATATAACATAAAATTTTTGGCGATCGGAGTAAATGTCACGTGGTTATAATGCCACGCCCCTTTGAGGTCTGAGTCGAAAATCTGCTGTTGCCGGCATTTTTTCGTGAAAATCTCTCGGCTACACATAGTGCGCATTAGTGCCTTGCGCTGAACAGAGTTTCACCAAAATCGCAAAGACCCAATTCGAGAAATTCAGCGGTTTCCAAATTTAGGTCATAATTTATGCGAAAACGATAAGCAAACTTTACACGGATTATATCTAATAAACTATGAGATTCATCTCTTTATTTTGGGCATCGTTATAACAGATGGGTCCTTGCACGTCAGCAAAACGCTTTAGGGCCTTGTAAATGCGCGCGATTTCGAGCAAAGCAAACATATAGAAATTATAGTTTTCGCTATTTGTTGACGTTTGTCAACGTTTAAGAGTCCATCTCACGAAAAAAGCATTTTCTTGAAAATTCGTAGTTTTTTTTCCTTCAAATTTTTTCAGGGCCACAAATGATTAACTAACTACCCGGACTCTGAATTTCATGGTCATTGAAAAACTGTGACATTATCTTCTATAAGCCCAAACTTGAGCAAACATTGAAGATTTTTAGCGTTTTGGCTGAGTTTGTGCTTTGGGAGTTGTCTATTGTTTCTAGTCTGTCACTATACAGCATTCTTGTTCAGCACGCGTGCAATGACCACGCTTGGCTGACGTCCGAATGCTCACCGAGATATTCCTGTCACGAGTTGGTTTAATTATTGGCTTGCATTAAACCTATGAAATAATGATATTTTTTTAATAGTAAGTAGATTTAGTGTGTGGCACTTCTTGATTTTTTTGCAAAGGCACAAGAAGCACGAGAATTGATTAAAAATTGTGAATTAAACCTCTATGTATCACGCGATGGCCTGTCTCACTGTACCAAAACTGTATCATATCTCGGTGAGCATTCGGAAGTCAGCCAAGCGCGGTCATGAGTGAATACCCCACAGGTTAAAAAATTGGCCTCAGCCGATATATTTGCAATGACTAAGCTAGATTTCCAGCCTTTTTTCGAAAAATAAGTCTGCGTTTCTTCCCCGCGAAAAGAGGAGGAACCAGACCGGACCTTAGAGAGCAGTGAAAACCGAGCCTGACTTGAATCAAAATCTGTTTGTAGCTGACACTATTTTGTTGTTTCAGTAATGTATGTAACCAAGAGAGGATGAGGTAAGAGAGCGAATCCCTGTGCCCCATGATAATTTTTTAAAATCTATTTAAAGTTCGCGCGCGTGCTGCGTAGGTTATTTTTGTCTGTTGTTTCCGTGACCCGCGTGGTCTACTTTCACGTGAACGTGACATGTTTCGCCGCCAAACATTTGAAGTTTGACAGCCATTATAGTAATTAGCGCTAGGAGCCGACACTAATTGGCTCCTGTTGTTGACGTGTTTTTGATCAGCGCTTTCCGCTCATACTGTAGGAATGAATTTCATTTACAAAGGGATTGCAGTATTGGAGTCAAAATTTCACTTTGAGATTAAAGATTCAGATTTTCTAACGGCTGGTAGCCATTTAAAGTAACGAATGCTGAATTCTGACACACCGTGAAAGCCAAAGGCAATGGTTATCACGCGCGAAACACGAAACCTTTAATAGGTGGCTGGCTTCAATTGTTTATGAAAATCTGCAAGATATTTTTTCACTTTTTCCTGGAATGTTTTTCTTTCAGAAACAGTACATTTACTTTTCAGAATTATTCTTGAGAGTTTCAAACTGCATTACTTCTTCTTAACGTCTAATACTTGGCGATGAATATTTCGCCCTGCGAACACAAATCAGGTCAGATGCTTCAAGCTGTTAGACAATCGCTAACCTGCATGCCAGAGACTTTTTATGCGCGGTTTCTGGTTTCTGTCAATTCTTTATAGTGGGTGGTGTGACCACATTTGTCTAGAGCCCTCTCAAAATTCAAATGTTTGGCGGCCAAACATTCATGTTTGAACCCACTTTGAACCTATTTTCTCGTTACGTGTCCACGGTTGGATCTAAACGACGGTATCACAGCTCGCGGGAGTGCGTGGATGTCACCGGAAGACACAGTTGTCTTTTTTGTTCAATGTTTTTATACTGATGTAGCGAAGACCTCAATTAGCAATTTCGGTCGAGTCGGAACCGCTTCCTCCGGCGAACTTCTACAAGCTAGTACCGTTTTGCTCTTCGGGAGCTACTCTTGCCAGATTTTTCCACGTAGAAATCTTTTGACTCGTCGGCGAAAGTAATACCACGTTTGCACGTCATAACGCTTGCTGTGCGTGATCGGCAGTGAAATGAATTATCCGCTAAGTTTAAAATTACATGACGCCACTCAAACCGACCAATAAGGTGGCGTCCTTAAAATAACCACACAGTGTGACACAGAACCAAAAATAGATTGAAAATAATTTTGATGGAAAGAGGGTCATGTATGGGGGATTCGCTCTCTTAGATCATTCTCTCTTGATGTAACAACAGCACAAGTTACAGTTAAGAATGAATACCACACTAAAGTTGGCAATGGTGGATATGCAGCGATTGGACCCCACAGTGCGCTTCATGTGGGACAATCAGCTGTTACTCCTACTGGGTTAGTGTATGATCTTATCTTCAGTCATTGTGATGTTAATTTAAATCTGTTTGCTTCGCACGGTTTGCCGTTGAAATTCAGAAATGTGGAAGCGGTGTGGGAGGGAAATTGCGTATCTTTGACTTAAGATGTCAGTGGTGGTTTGAAATGAGTTGAATCATAGAGGCAACCATATGAGATACTTCTGACGTATTTGGAAAGATTCTGTCGTTGAGACAGAGTCCTTGGTTATCGTACAGTATACAACTATCCCCCTAGGGGAAGGTGATTAGTGGTCAATATCGATATCTATCTTGCCTGAGAAAAAAGCATATAACCCTCTTCTGACCCACTAATATTTATCGGCCATGGGGGAATAGCCCATTTTACAGTATGTTACAGGTGCAAAAGCGATTGACCTGCACCCATCCCAACCTCTTATTTCATTGGTGCATATAACCTGCACTACCTATTGTTTTCAGGGATAGGGGCATTGTTATGTCACCATCCCTATTGTTCTTCCAGCCAATCACAATCGTTGTTTGGAATAGGCGCGGGTCGGCTCGTGGAAACGATGCTGGAGTTGACCCTGTTTTGATACAACCCTTCCTACTTTATTATGTAAATCATGTTGTTGTTATGCTAATTTTTTTTTTTTCATTTAAATTTCCATAAAAAAGAAGGAGGTTTGTATAAAAACAGGGTCAACCTCAGCCTCACGTCCACTCAAAAGCTAGGATACTAAGCCCACAACTTTAAAATGATCTATAGTCGTTTGACTATTTACCAAACCCTTTGGATAAAATGAACAAATAACTTTCATAAACTAATAACATTGCTTCGGGGAGTTGTTGAGTGTATTTTGACGATTTTGTCGCAATGTCAAAACGAAACATATTAGCAAAAAATGTTCAGAGGTAATGTACAGGCCGTTTTTATGCAACCTATCGTTATATCGATCCTTTCTTTTCACTGAATGCAACTTGTGGTACAAACTATAGTCTGCGATGCTGGCGTATTTTTGAGCAGGTGAAAGCTGCCTTGTTTATATTCGTATCCCCGTGGCCACCATGTACGATGTTCGACATAGGGATATTTTGGTGAGCAGGAATAGAGGGACGAGGAAAGAAGAAGACGGGCGAGGTGGGAAAGAATTCTCCCATCCTTCTTTCCCGCTTTGACTTTCCCCAACTCTTCGACGTTTTTCTCAATATGGCGGTTACACGAGCAGAAAGATTCGAGCACTCAAAGAAAACGCATGAGAATGTAAATTTTGATTTGTTCTTGTGTTAAGTGTTCAGCCCCAGCTTCCTTCCACTGGTGAAAGTAGCTACAGTATCAACATGTCTGGTGGACATGCCAGTATTGGTGACCACAGTGTAACCAATGTGGGAACAGCAACACCAAGTTGACGTATACCAAATATTATTTATTGTTTAATGACCGTTGCGCTACGTTAGTAGATTATAAGAAACTGTTCTTTAATACTGTAATCGCTAAAGGACCCTATACAATCAAAGCCCTCGTAAGGGACCAACTTGGTATGTTTTGCAGGTCCATAGCAGGAGCCCATAAAACGGATGGAGCAACGTCCATGTCACGGCGTATATTTCAGAACGATTGTGACGCGAATTGACTTAAGAATCGTAAGAACTTAAGAATCGTAAAAAGGACCTTGTCATAACGGTTTTTATGTAGTCACAGAGTGTTTATGTCCTGTATTGTAATTAGCATTCTGTTCACTTGTTTATATCTTTCAGAACTCCAAGTACTGCGGAAAGTATCGAATCTCCATTTGGGTTTCCGGAGAGTAGGAGTGGTACAAACCCCGTTACTGCTAGCTCAGGAAACCCTACAGAAAGTGAAAATATCGCAAATACCCCTGAAATACCTACGGCAGTTCCTGAAGTGGGTAGTGTAGGATCTTCCGAGCAGATTGCAGTTGCTTCTGGTTCTCGCGGAGCATTTTCCGGCAGTCCTGTTCCAGAGACAAAAAACTCAGGAACTCCCCCTGGAGATTCAACCAATGTTAATGTCCCTGAAAAATTACCTGCGAGCGTTCCTGAAGCAGGCAGCGCAGGATCTTCCAAGCAGATTGAAGTTGCGACTGGTTCTTGCGTAGTATTGTGCAGTCCTGTTCCAGAGACAAAAAAATCAGGAAGTCCCCCTGGAAACTCAGCCGATGTTAACGTCTCTGAAAAATTACCTGCGAGTGTTCCTGAAGAAGGCAGTGTGCGATCCATCTCGGAAAAGGAAAATGCTGTCAAGGGTCTTGGAACATTGTCCTACCCTGTGACTGAAAGTAATCATCCTAAAACTCCCACGGAAAATTCAAGTGACGCTGCTGATAGCCCTGGGAGATTCCCATATCCGATTCCTGAAGAAAATAAAAAACCGGAATTGGGCGAATTAGAAAGGGCTGTTTGCACTTCTCGCACTGAAACTACAGCAACTACCGTCGCCTTGTCAAGTATTGAAGGTTCAGTAAACTGTAGCAGTTCAGAGAGATGCACACCACTGTCTGGAATTGAGAAAAAGTTAAACCACAGAAAAGCGTCTGAGGAAAGTGGAGAAACTGCTCATTTACAGAAGCAGCGTACATGTAGAGATGAAAAGAAAACTGCTTCAGCTTCGTCAGCAATGCAGGGACCTTCAAGTAAGCCTTGTTTATTTGTCTGGGTACTTTACATCGTTGTGCAAGTTAGTGCAACACCTTAGAGGGTCATCTCTTCGATGTATTTTTTTGGCAATACTGTGATATTAGACGAGCATTCTTTGCACAGGGGTTGGGGTGAGTAAGCCTACCTTCCATGTGGTAGCGGACCGTTCATAGCCTAGCATGCGTAGCAGGTGTCGAAAATGGAGGGGGATTGGGGAGAGAGGCACCTTCTTTTTTCCCATTTATGCTTTTCTCCCCCTCTCCTCCCCTCCCCTTTTTGCGCCTTCACGGCACGCAGGCTATTCTTTAGGAGGTAACCTCCTACGCAGATGTTATTAGGGCTTCTTCATCCGGTGGAACTCGTGACGAAGTCTTTATAACGTCTGCGTGCGTGGCTAATTACCCCAGTATCTATGGTGGAACTGCCCACCTACCCCTCCCCCTAAGCCAACATTTTGCCCTAAGTGAGAAGTAAGCTTTAATGTTGACTTAATGATCCGTAATAGTTAAATATATGAAAAAGATCCTCGATATAACGAAACCTCTGTGTAGCGAACCAATTTTGCCGGTCCCTTGGCCGTTTGTTATGTCGAGGTTCCACTGCAGCAAAATCCCTACGGGCAGGGGTCAAACAAACTAATTTTGCATTCGGCTTGTCCTATTTTCTTTTGCGCTAGATAATATCAAACTGTCTGTAGCAAGGAATACCATTCCACCTACAAATAGAGCTGATGAACGAAGCAATAGACTAGTTGGACAGTGTAGTATTCCGGGACCGCCACCAGATCACGCTTTTGCGGCAGCATCTAATGCAGCTAGTGCATTCAAGAATTCAACCGCACCTTCAAAGGGAAGTTCGTCGAAAGAAGCGCAACACAGAAAAGAAATATTTGTGAGAGGTGACTCCTTTCCCGACAGTGATGTTTCGGTAAACCAAGATCAGAGGCAGATAACAGATTCAAACCAAACAACGAGAGTTGTCGGACACAGCTATCAACACAGAGTTGGTGACGGTGTGGGTAGCGAGAACAGACGTGAAACAGCACAGAATGAAAATAGTTGTGTTGTACCAATTGATTCCGATCCTGGGGAAGACACTAAGGGAAAGGAAAGGTGCGATAAGGATAATTGTAAGATCATGTGACCTTGTTAGGTGATTAACAGCGCATTGTGTCTAACTCTATAAGCAAATGAAAAGTAGACGTCAAGTAAAAGCGGCCACGTCCAGAAGATGACACAAGGCTCTTTCTGCGGAAAGTCTATCGCATATGGATCATTTGGATAACCACGACCAATGGACACCGACTAAATACCTCAATCTTTTAAAGGTGGACATCGGTTTGTGTCTAGACAGTATTGAAGTGGGCATCTCACAGGTGGACATCTCTATGTAAGAGCTCCCATGATTGGTCCAATATCGCGTGAACATATTGACTCTTGACCAATGACAGGGCGTCAAATTGAGAGCCGAAAGTCCCATCCATACACATCCAGTCCTTTCCGCGCGCTTTCCCGTCGTCAACTGACGTTCCCGTTCTGTTGCTAAATCAGCCTAATAGCTTCCTTTGGGCAGTTTAGAGAAATACTTCTAAAAACTTTCTTTAGTTTCGAATACATTGAATTCTATTTGCAAAAGTGTTGTCAAAAAGCCTGCGACGGTATTATTGCGGTGTTGTTTTTACAGAGAAACGTTGTTAGCTTCGTGCCATTTCAGTATTTTTTAATAATTTGATATTGTCATGATCATTTTGTTGAGTAAATGAGGACATGACGTTGTTTACCCGTGACCTGTCTGCTTAAAGATCGGAAAACTTCAGCACTTTTATCGACAGGTGTTATATGAAAGGAAGTATCCTGAAAATATTTCAGAAATTTTGATGGTAAAATTTAAGTGGTGTTGTCTAGGCTATTTTTAAGCTTTATAACGGTTTATAAAAAGATAGATGCCGTTATAGATGTAAGAAAAGACTTTTTATAAGAACCTACAAAAATCAGTGTGAATCCGGCGTTTAACATCGCTTATAATTTTTTAAGAAGAGTAGATATTTTTGTTTAAGTAGGTTGGCGTTTTGTTGAGTAATTGAGGACATTCCGTTGGCTACCTGTGACCTGTATGCATAAAGATCGCAAAACTTCAGCACCTTTATGGCCTGGTATTGATGAAAGGAAGTATCCTGAAAATATTCCAGAAATTTTAATGGTAAAATTTAAGTGGTTTTGTCTAGGCTATTTTTAAGCTTAAGCGCTTTATAAAAGATAGATGACGTTATAAATGTAAGTTAAGGCTTTTTGTAAGAACCTGCAAAAGTCAATGTAAAGTTTATTATTATTTAAAAAGAGTAGATATTTTTATTTAAGTAGGTTGGCGTTTATTCTATGGCTGACTGGGATATTTGCATAGTTTATACCCTGTTCATAAGATATGTTCCAAGAAAGGTGACGACGAAGCAAACTGTCTTAACCATGGAAAAAGAAGATAAATTTGTTTGAATTTTAAACAACAGGATACTTAACAACTTTTTTACAAAGCTGTTTAACTTCAAATTGGTGTGGTTTTAATTGTTACAAATTAGGGGTACTAAACTTAGTAATGGCTTGCTCGCAAAAAAAAAGTTAGATATCTTACTTTTTTTTTGTTAGTTGTTTTGAATGACGAAGAAATTTACATTAATTGTCTCCTTCATAGAAGAAAAGTACCGGCATGAAAACAGTGAATGGTTGGATGAATTTGTTAAGCACTTAAAGTGCATCATATGAGTTAATGTGCTGTGTTACTCGGTAAAAAGACAAAGTCTTCTCAATAAATCAGTTAATTAGCTGTAATTTATGTTACCTTTGTTTGCTAAAGTTGAGTGCGGAACTTGTTCTGGAATGTCATTTATCTGTCGCGGACGAACTCCTCTTCACTTTTACGAGCTTTAGTTAATTTAATACACGCAGTCACTTTCACATCAAAAATGCAGTTCTTTAGTTTTAACGCTGAGGTCATGCTGAGATATCTATTTTTTGATTTTCATTTTTAGCCTTCGCTTGGGAAATCCGAAGAAGGATTTGAAAAACTGGCCTTAAGAACAGCGGTCTTGCACGCGCACGCATAATTAACAAAAAGAACACCGCTGTTCACGAGAACAGTTTTGCAAATCCTTTTTCGGATTTCCCATCCAACGGTAAAAAGGAAATCCATGAAATCCGGATTTGGATTTCTGAATTGACATCCACCCTGACGACGGATTTCTCGGAGGTGAAATCCGTTTTCGGATTTCGTGTTCGTTTGCAAAATCCGAGATCCGGATTTCCCAATAGAACGAATCCGAGATAGGGTTTAACCGGATCTGTTACCGAAGGGTGTTACGATGGTTCTACATTTTGCGTTCATGTATGAAGTCCTATTTGACAATTCAGAAGTACCTTTCTTTGGTATCGTTTAGGCTACGTCCACAAGGATTCCTAAATTTTTGAAACCGCTTAGCTTTCACACGAAACGGCCTAATCCGACCACTCGAGCTTAACCCTTTAAACTCTAAGATCAAAATTTGAATTCTCATCTGTTGCCCCGATTGATTTCCTACAGAAGTAGTGGGGAGAAGTCGATAAAATATCAAGTAAATTCATCCCGTGTGATCATGTCCGTAATTGTCATGACCACTCTGTCTTAAATAGCAGTGATATTAAAAGGAGAAATTTGATGCTGATCACTCTTAACGCTTAAATAAATTTGCGCTCATCCTCGGAGACCCAGGGGCAGATAAAGGGGACGAGGGAAACTCTAAACGGGCGGAAAAATGGTGCCAGAAAACTTGTGTTTTTCTGGCACCAATCAGAAGCCAGAACAGCGGTGACCGTTTGGAACTAGTCTGGTAAGACATTGTCCCCAGGGGCTCTTCTCGCCGTTCTTTACTTTTCTTCGTTCCATATATATTTTTCCGCCCGTTTAGACTTTCCCTAGCGCCCTTTATATGCCTATGGGTCTCCGAGGATGATTTGCGCTCAGTTTCAAACTTTACTGCGTCTTTCTCACGTCGTTCGATCCGACAAATTCTAAAGGACTGCATCGATCGAAGTTCAGGAAGAGAAAAAGAAAATCGTTGTCTTGTGTTTACGTCCTCCACAAGACGTCGAGAAATTAGGTACTTTCAAGTCGTAGTCGTGCAACGACGGCAAAGGAATGTACGAACAAGCGTGATGCACATGCAAAGTTGTTGTTTTGCTTATCTAAACGTGTTTTGAAGTTTCCCGTTCTCGTTGCCGTCGCCGTCGTCCGGCGCGTTGCTTAAGCTCCCTAAAAAATCCGGACACCGAAACCGAATTGTTTGGAAATTGCTTTCCAGGAGAGCGATCACAAATCCTGATAGAAATATGCGTTTTCTAAAATGTCTGCATGGATTCGTGTGCGAGGACATGGCCTATGTGTTCTTTTAACGTTCTTTGGTAAATTTTAACCATTTGCGTTATCATTAAAGGCTCTTTACAGGTTCAGGTCATTAATTTTAATGTGAAAATCATTTTGCTGCCAAAACAAGGTGGGGAAGCTGTCACAGTAACAAAAAAATTGTTCCCAAAACGTGCATATATTTCTGGTCATCTTATTCATGCCTAAACCGTTTAGACTATGATTAGTTTTCATCCTGCTATAACGTGGATTTAAAGTGGAAAATCAATGGGATCATTTCCAACAAGACCTTTTCAAGAAAGCAAACCACAGAATGGTGAACCCGGCGAATTTTTATCAAAGCCTCGAAGAAAAACAAAAATTTCACCTAGCATAAAAATTTCAACGCCTACGGGTTGCAGAAGGCCAGCATTTACAACTCCGCAATCAACGAGGAAAAAAGTCGACAAAAGCATGTTATGGATATACTGGAAGCCTAAGAGGAGATTTTCATGGCCAAATAATGAAAAATTACAAAGAGAGGAAAAGAACAGTTTTTTTTAAGTGAATAATAACTGACCCACGATAAAAAACAATGCGCCACATTATTCTTACACGCCGGAATTAAAATGGAAATTAAAGAGAAATGTTCAATGCAAAGTAAGAATTGTTAAAAAGAGAATTAATACAGTTGGAACTTGATGCCAGGAATTTGAGCAAGCATTAAATTGATGGCAGGAAAACTCATCATAAACTTATCTTGATGTTCAAGTATCGCTACCCTTAGAGGGCAATAAAAACGGGACAGCAATGCAAGACTCCTCAACTTTTAAGAACCCCCAATACCGATTATTATCATATTGAGCCATATTTCTCCTTTTGGGCTAATTTTTCTCCAGGGGAGATTTTCTGAATTCATAAATGTTTCCGGAATGATTACATTTATGGTACTCGGATTTGAAGGTGTTTTAATACGCAATTAATTCATCAGTTCAATTCGAGAACTTCACTCGAATACAAAGGCTAGGTTTACTATAGAAGACATTTTCCCGGATTCATAAACTTCTGCGGATATATTAAACTTAAGGTATATACTTGGATCAGCGAGCGTATGCACACATCACTGAGATAATCCAAGAATATTCAAACGGATACAAATTTACTTTAGATCAGGGTTCAAAATCTCCGCACGCGCGACTAAACTGGAACGTTTTATTTCGAATTCACGCCTGTGCGTGTAAATGGCAAAATTGAAGCAACCAGTCAAACTGATCCGAAAGAATCTCCTCTTATATAAACCTCGCCTTAATGTTAGAGAATGAAGGAATTTATCATCAGATATGGAAAAGCTTGCATTAAAATTAAAATACCTTCTCCTGAGCCCTGACTGATGCCATTCGTTCCTCCACCTCTATTAGCCAGGGAGCTTTAGCATCGACGACGGCAACGGCAGCGAAAACGTCAGTTTTAAAATGAATTTCCGTTATTTCAATCCTTGTCGCGTTTATTCCAATTTGCTGAAAATGACAAGTGTAGGCGAATTTCTCTGGAGTTGATTTCTTGAGGACCGCACTCAAGTTTAGAGAGAGAAAAAGAGATTCGTCGTCGCTTGTTTACCTCCTTGAACATAAAACTTGCAATTAGGCATTTTCACGTCGTAGTCGTGCAAGGACAGTAAAGAAATGTACAAAAAAGCGTGATGCACGTGCAAAGTTGTTGTTTTGCGTAATAAACCTATTGCTTTTTTGACGTCCTAGTTGCCGTCGCCGTCGTCG